TTTTTTTTTTTTTTTTTTTTTTGCTTGCTCATAAGAACGCTACACAAGACAATGCCAAAAGCCCAAGTAAAGTCAAAATATGCGACGGCTACTGCTTCTCCCCTGCGCTAACACTCTATAACCATCATACTGGCTGTTATTCAGCTCCTTGTGTGTCATCTGGGTGCTTAGAGCAAGTTTACATTTCTCCAGGATGTTTGTTTTTTACTTTTTGGAAGTTGAAGGTACGGTTGCTGAGCATTTACTCATCTCCTTTCTCTCTGCGCCACTTCTTTTAAACAGACTCTGTACTTACGCTGTTCCCATCATTGGTGGCTCACCAGTCCCCAGCTGTCCTTCTCGAAAGTAGCTGCTAACACGTCTGAGACTGTTTCAGGCAGTTTTTCACATATGCTAGACAGATGTTCATCAGGTTCAGCCGTAACAGCAACACATTATGCTAAGTGCTGTCTAATCTGCTTATCCAGGCTATTAGTGTTTTTAAACCTTCTCTTGCTGATGTCACCTGTACCAGCTACCTGCTCACCTTTCCAGTGATGAGTGAAGGAAAAAACTCACTTTGGCATTGTTTTATCTCCTCCACCCCCTTTGCTCTTGAGCAGGCTGGCCACGTTTCTTTGTTTTTTCTTTTCACGTTAATGCATTCAACTTATGGTGTCTTGTATTCTTTGAAATGAAGAGGCAGTGGTTCCATGTGTTTCTGTGAAGGGACTGTATCCCTTCGTGAAGAAACTTGTCCTGCCGCGTCAGAACTGCTGGACATAGGTGGTCCCTGTAACACCACTGTGACTCACTGGTTCAAAGCCTCCCCTTGCTACAAGCCCTTTGTCTTTACCACCCGGCAGGGTCAGCCTGCCAGGAAAAGTACTGCTGTGCTGCTAATATGGCAGATGTGCAAACTGACTTTGCTGGGGAGGCAGGAGGGACTGAGAGGAACTTGTTTTAGCCACATTAGATTCTGACTGTCATGAGGAGGTGAAGCAAGCTGTACTAGAGAGGCAAAAGTGAGAGCCACTTGGAAATATTAGCTCATTGAAGCTGGCGTTGTCTGTTACTAGCGTTGAGAACAAATGCCACTGGAGCATCCTGGCACACGCTGACAATTAATGCAAATGTACTCTTGCCTTTCTCATTAGCTTTCTCATGGGCTGCCATTGGGTTTGGGGTATGGGATGTTGAGGTCAGGCTGTGCCCTGACCTCCTAGCATGGCCTCCTGCAGGCTCGAGTGTCTTTCATATAGTGTATGGGTGTCTGCCAGGGTGTGCAACTGTTTTAAGGTCTTGTCCAGCTCCCTGAGGTACAGAGCACCGACCTGCCCCTTGATTGATGCCTGGTCTTTTGTCTCAGTGTAGTGTTGAAAGGACTTGCATTGTTTTCCTCCAATTTCCTATCCATTTGGAGACAGCTCACAAAGCTCTTGTCTTCCGAATTCTGCTTCTGTGGGCTTCACTGCCTCACCCCCCAGGGAAACAAGGTCCTGCAGGTACATAAGCCTAAATACTGCTAAATACACCAGAATGCAACAGCGACTCCTTTATTAGGTCACTCTGAGCCAGAGTACAATAATAACATGAGTTACAGAAAAACTTGCAATTTTTGATGGTGATCTCACCACCCCACCCTTCAAAAAAATAACTGATCAATGGTTCACCTTCCAGGAAAAATCAGGAAAATCAGCATACCATTTTTCTCAAGTGTTAGGATCATGCTGTTAATATCCTGATGTTACCTGAGTTTATTGCATTATTTAATGCTGAGTGAGTAAATGGATGACAAAGCCATTACCACCACAATTACAAGCTAGTTATCAGCTGCAATGTTTGTGAGCCTTCTGAGTCGTGAGGGTGACACAGAATGGACTATGCCATCTTGATCCCAAAGGAGCTATGGTCTGAAGCTGAGGCATCCTTTCTTGGTATATATGCTCCAGGAATGTTATTGCCAACGTTGTTCTGGCGATGTTGGATCCATGCTATTCCAATGTGTCGATCCGTGACAGTTTGGCAGAAGATGCTATTCTCATCCCATCAGAAAGATTTGGGGGGTTTTTTCCCTTTTTTTTTTCTTTTTTTTTTTATTTTCCCTCTCAAATAAGTAAACTTAATTTTGAACCAAAAGTCCTTTTAATTTACAGTCACTCAAACTGGCTCAACACTTAAAAATGGGAACACGACTAAACGTTCTGTATGGTTCTGTCATTCGTGCTCAGGACAGAGGAACTCAAATGCCTTTTATACCCTTGCAGCAAAGAGGGACGGGCACATCCTCGGCTGCATTTGCAAGAGCGTTGCCAGCAGGTCGAGGGAGGTGATCCTTCCCTCTACTCAGCACTGATGAGGCACTTCTGGAGTACTCGGTCCAGTTCTGGGCTCCCAAGTACAAGAAAGACAAGGACATATGGGATTGAGTCCAGCGACGGGCGTGAAAGTGGTTAAGGGCTTGGGACATCTGAGGTATAAGGAGAGGCTGGGAGAGCTGGGGCTCTTCAGCCCAAAGAACAGAAGACCCCCTGAGTCTCCTCCTCAATGCACTATCAATGTGTACTCATGCATGATGGAAGGAACAAAGAGGATGGACCCAGAATCTTCTTGGTGGTGCCTGGTGACAGGACAGGAGGCAATGGGCACAAATGAAAACACAGACAATTCAATTTAAACACAGGAAACAACTTTTTTCATGGTGAGGGTGATCAAACGTCAGAACAGGTTGCCCACAGAGGCTGTGGAGGCTCTGTCCTTGGAGATAATCAAAACCCAACTAATCATGGCCCTGAGCAACCTGCTGTAGCTGACCCTGCTCTGAAAAGGGGGATTGCATTAGGTGATCTCCAGAGGCACCTTTGAATATCAACCATTCAGTGACTCTGTGCAGCTGTAAGAGGAGCAAAGCATCATTACTGAGATGACTGGAAGAATGGTGAGCCTACCTTACAAAAATATGTTTATACGTAAACAACATACATAGATTGGGTGAAAGGAGGAAGGCTGAGAGGAGCCATCGCTTCTCTCTGTAAATGACATAAAAGAGTAGATGACAAGGGAAGAACTACTGAAAGTAAAGAGCTGGCACAAGAATAGCAAGTAGCAAAGTATTATCTGACAAAGAACAAAGGCTTAAAATTAGGAAGAATAAATTTCTAAACCAACACACCAATAAGAATACTGAGAGTTTCTGAAAGGGATTATTTGTTATACCATAGAAGTGTACCAGCCTTAGACCTAGTGTTAATGAATGGGCAGAAGAGGCTACTCTCTCAAGCAGCAGAATTTATGGGGAGACCTGAGGGAAAAAAGTCAGAGACTGTGTTACCAAGAAGTGTGGGCAGAGGCTGAGCTTCACAGGAACCCACAGGTGTCTCCAGGTCTGTCTGATTATTTATATACTGCTGTGGATAAGAAGGAAGGTAGCGTATTTTTGTAGGTCATGTCTGTGCAAAATACTCAGTTCTAAAAGTGGAAGAGTTTTGTTCTGTGTTGAAAGTTTTTGTCATCTAAAGTTTTCCCTTTTTAAAGTGTATTTTGTCTTTTTCTTTTAAGTGTGTGCTACAACAATCCATTTCATCATGGAGCAAAACGGTCAAGTGAGGAGCCTGGCTCATCTCTTAGATAGTGTGGAAATAGCCTGCAGAACAGATGTTAAACTTTACACCTCTGGACACTTAAATCATAACAAGCTTTATAAGCCTTCAGAGAAAATAAAACAGGGACCATGGTACTCTGCCAGGAAACAAACTAGTTTCATGACAGAAAGAAATCAATTCCCAGCTGAAAATGAGAAAGCAAGGAAGATGAAAAGATTTTCAGGTAACTTTTGTTCCAGCATCCCTCTGCTTCCAGCACAGGCTGAATCTTCCTGCCCTAACGACAGACATCCACAGTCACCTGTGACCAGTGTTGGTGTCTCAGCAGATTTTTTCTGCTCTACTGGAAAGTTGACAGAGCTTAAAAAGAAAGTGGAGGAGGGAACTGATGGTGTCCATATGCATCTCAAAAGAGTTGAGGTAGATGTGTCAGAGATTACAATGCTAAAAAAGAAACCAGTTAAGAACAGCCAACAGTGTGTTGAGGAGCTTGCCAAGGAGGAATACCAGTTCATACCTTCATACTTGGCTGGTGCAACTAAAACTGAACAGTTTGACAAACTCCTACGTTTCCAGAAGGAGTTTGTAGCAAAGCATGAACTGTTACAGAATGATTTCACAGGGAGCGAAGTTATCAGAGCAGCATGAGAGAAAGCTGGCTAAGGTAAGAAAAAGAGTCCTCGTGTTGATGGAAAGGTAAATTTTGCATTGTCTTTCTGGGTGAATTGGTTATATGTGTTCCAGGAAAATGGAATGGGTTTGGGCAAAATCACCTCTCTCTTCTTGGCAGAGAGATAATCCAATGTGTTTTCTTAGTTGTGTACTTGTGAGACACATCTACCATGTGCTCCAAAACCCTGAGCCCAAAGCTGTATGCCACTGTTTACCCTTCCCTCCATCGTCATGTGGAAATGTTGTCTTAAGTATACAGTAAAGCAGGAACTTGCAAGCTAGATGTGAAAAATCACTGTTGGTCAGCAACTCTGTAGGAACTGTATATTCAGTGTCTTCTCCAGCAGCACATTTGAGATAATTTGTAAAAGAAGCTGCCTTCTTTGTGTGTGTGTGTAGGCTGTCTCTTTACACACAGACGGTTGCTGCACTCTGGCTGGCCTTTCATGGTGGGTAGGATGGGGAGTGAATTTGATCAGCCAAGCACATACACCTTGCAGAAGTTGCTTGTGTTGCTTGAGTTGCTGCCCTGAGGGAAGTATTAACAATCTCATCAACACTCAGAGCCAAATGCAGGAGTGAGAGTAAGGTACTGGATTCATAGAAGTTAGGGACGGAACTTAATGAAAGCAGTTGGGGGTCAGTAAGCTCAGAAATGACTAGGCTAGTGTGGGCTGGAGAAGAACTGGCATTTCATGTAGCTGGGAGTAATTTTTGAAAGAATTTGGCACCTTGCCCCTCACTGTGTTACTTATGGCCAGGTTTTCATCCTTTGTAAGATGCCAGCTGATTTATCAAGGGCATTTTACAGAGAATTGAACAGTGGATTTGCCGGACCAGGGGAGACATGGCTGCTGACAGAGAAAATAGAGGTCATGCTTGACTGAAACAGCCATCCCAATAGCAGTGCTACGTATACCAGAAACTGGGAAAGAAATGATCAAGCAAATAAGCAGAGCTCTTTCTTGTATACCTCCGACATGCTACCAAAACTTTTCAAGAAAAGCTATATGAAATGAGGGAAGTGAGGTGACAAATTCATTCAACTACTTGTGGGTATAACTCTTGGAGAAGCAGCATAATCCATGTTCCACTGGATTCTAGGAGGTATCATCTGCCATACCAACTCACCAAAAAAGTTTGGCTACTTCCCACCTCGGTAAATACCCTAAAGCAAACTTTCTCCTATGCCTCTGGGCTGAGAGGACGGACTAAAAGGAAGAAGGAATGGGAGGAAACAGAAGAGGCAAAATGCAGTATTATAGCAGGATAACAGCTTGATCTAGTGTTTTTTAAAGGATTTTTTTCCCAGAAAACATTTTCTCCAGAAACAATTTGAATCAGTACAATTTTTGTGAGATAGTGTAACTCTGCTGCAAAGCTTAGCAGAAAGCTATACTAACTAGCAGTGATGGCAATCTTTGCCCTTTGATTAAATGGTCAAAATTTCTATCAGCCTCGGTTTGAGACAAAGGTATTCACCAAGTGAAAAACTGCCATAGTCTATTATCTGCCCAAGAGGCTTGTTGTGAAAAAGTTGATCTTAGGTACAGAGCACTTTGAAGTGAGGCCTGCAGCACTCTAGAGAAATAGTTCCCGTGACAGAGGAACATACAGCACAGATTGCCTCTGAGACCCTTTATGTTTCTCTGCCAGGTATTGCTCAGAACTAGCATGTATAACCATGAGATTATAAGGGTATGATTTTAACTGTTGTATTCCTTAGCTAAGGTTTCTTGGGTTATTGATATATTAATTATGTCTCTCTGAACTAACAGTTGCTTTAATGAACATGACATGTTCCAAGGACTGCTTCTTCCAAACCTGGAGATGATCTGTTGAAGTCAGTAGAGAGAGACAGACTAATTTATACTTGTGGAAGGATTGGATGTAAAGATGTAAGCAAGATATTCAACAACAAGTTGAGGCACAATGTAGTATTTGTCTTCTGTCACACGAATCTGTGTCATCTTTGTTTTCTGCTAGTCTTTTTGGTACATCCTGTCTTGTTGAATGTGAGCTTTCTTCTTACTTATGATCAAAATACAGAATTCATGCTATGACCATGACTTAATCTGGATTCTCATGACATTTCTTACTGCATACTGTCAGGAGAAATGGCATGAACATGAACAAAGCAATACATTCTGACATTCAGTTTTAGAGTATCTTCTGCATATGCAGGTATGTAGTTGTTCATTTTGATGATTGTACAGAAGCCCCAGAAAATCTATGGCTGTGATGCCCTCCATTTCAAGCACTACAGGTTGTTGAGGAAGTATTTGAAGACGTGTGCAACAACTCTCTGATATCTGATGATATTCTGAAGGAAGTGAAGGTAAGAAATATTCCTGAGCTTCAGCACAACATAAGCTAAATGTACCTTAACTATTGTTTTAAGTGCATTATCTCCCAATGCCCTTTGCCAATTTTTTCTCAGTGCATCTGGGATATTTAACCCTTTTTAGCTACAGTGAGGGAAGTGATTCTCCCAGGGTTTTGTATTTTTCAGGAGACTTTTCTCTGCCCCCTTGCTCACATGTTAAAATCAAACATACCTAACAAACTTCATGGGCTCATAGCATTGTTTTTATCATTTAATCGCTTGTGGTCTCAAAGGGGAATGGCTGATGTCTTCCTCGTTTTTGCTCCTTTTCCCATTGTACACAGGTCAGCAAACAAGAGCAGACAATAGAAGTGTTAAGAGATATGCCTGTATAGAAAGTTGTTTTCCTGTCTGCTCAGTGATTTGAGCTGACACCATTTCCATCTACAAGCACCATCATGTTAATGGAGAAAGGAGAAATCACAAGGAATTGCACACCTCTGCAAATCATCTGCAGGTGCAAGGGCTACGAGCTCGGAAGAAATAACACTGGGGAGAAAGGTGAATTGGAAATTGCTCATATTCAGTGGTTCGAGAGCAGGCTATGTTTTCAGTCGCTGCTTCCATTCATTCAAATTAGGGCCACGACTGTGTGTGTGTTAAGTAATTCCCTCAATTTTATTTTTTTTTAATAGCTGACCAGAAAACTAAACTCCATGACTATAAAAGTCATGTGATTTTGTCTTTAGTGCGTTCTCAGTTCTGGTTCTGGCCCGACTAGTGAGACGACAAGCCTTTGCATGTGTCCCAGTGTTCCTACTGTGACTTTATGCCTTTTAACTAACATATAGCAAGCAAGCCATGACTCTTCCTTCCTGCAGTGTCCCCCAGGTGACAAGACAGCAACATCACATACAGTACTTACGTTTGCACTTGCTCAAATTTTTCTGTGTGGTCAGGAGAGAAGGACAGGCAGCTTTTGGGAAAGACATAGGAGTTCTTTCCCAGGTTTCCCCTAATGTACTGTGTGAGTTACACAAACAGATGCCAAACATCCGGCTATCACTTAAGCACTTTGATAAAAGCATTACAAAAAAACCCTGCAAACAAACCAAAACACCCCAAACCCCCAACCTTCACAAACTTTTTTTTTGTGAAACTCTAGCCGTAATTCTAAAATCCTTAAAACGTTTGGGAAAAAAAAAATATAGGGCTGTAACCTACTGGTGAATTATATTTCTACTTCTCACTTTGACAGTTAAATG